GAATAGATATAAAGCAAGATATCCTAAAATTCCTTTATAGTAAACCCCCCAGAAGTTTTTTTTTAAAAAAAACAAATGATAACTACACAAATTTGGTTAACCTATGCACATTTATTGACTTTCTCTGAAGGAGAGCCTAAATCAAAAACTAGTGAAGAACTGGGAAGGGAAGGTCACATTTGTCAATATTATGCTTGTGCCCAGTTGACAGAAAGACTTAAAATGAATGAAAGGAAATTTGCTTTTATCAATGAAAAAACTGGTTTTGAATTGGATTTATGTGCTAGTGAAGGACATATTATTGCTAAGATGTATGAAGTATTATTGGAAATGAAATTTTAAAATGTGTATGATTAAATGGGCAAAAAACTTGAGATACAAGATAATGTGATCCATTGTGATCAATGGGAAAATATGTGGAGTAAAGGATTGAAAATTACACTGAATTATAATATGAAGAATAACTTTACAAGATGATGTATCATTGGTATTTAACAATAGACAAATTGTTCAAGATGTACAAGGGTGCCAAATATATGTTGGGAATATAAGCAATCTAAAGGTATATTTTCTCATCTTTGGTGGACAGGAAAGGAAATAGTGGGATCAGATATGTATATTCAGAGAATTCTCAAATTGCATGTACAATTGAAACTAAGTTCTAAACTGAATTCTAAGTTTGATAGATAAACTTGAAACAGTTTTTATATAAGATAACAGCAGCAAAGCTTATTCACGCGCCGAGATTGAAAAACTTGCAAATATCCACAAAGAAAGAATGGATGGTGAAGTTAATGGAGCTGGCAGATATGATTAAATTGACTTTTAGGTTTTTTTTTGAAAGCCAACTTCTATATGGAAACCACTTTTGGATTTTTCTGCTTGAAACTGAAAGAAATGAAATCTTAATCTTCGGATTTGATGACTAGAATTTGTTATTACTATAGAAGTGTTATGTGCTATGGTTTACTCTAATTTAAAGAGTTATTTTATGTTGATATCTATAGGTGAAACTCAAAAAATTAGAATATCGTGCAAAAGTTCGTTTATTTCAGTAATGCACCTTAAAAGGTAAAACTAATACATGAGATAGACTCATTACATGCAAAGCAAGATAGTTCAAGCTGTGATTTGTCATAATTGTGATGATAATGGCTTACAGCTCATGAAAACCCCAAATCCACAATCTCAGAAAATTAGAATATTACATGCAATCAATAAAACAAGGATTGTACATAGAACAATATCGGACCTCTGACAAGTATAAGCATGCATATGTACTCAATACTTGGATTGGGCCCCTTTTGCAGCAATTACTGCCTCAATGCGGCGTGGCATGGAAGCTATCAGCCTGTGGCACTGCTGAGGTGTTATGGAAGACCAGGATGCTTCAATAGCGGCCTTCAGCTCTTCTGCATGTTCGGTCTCATGTCTCTCATCTTTTTCTTGGCAATGCCCCATCTATTCTCTATGGGGTTCAGGGCAGGTGAGTTTGCTGGTCAATAAAGCACAGTAATCCCACAGTCACTGAACCAGGTTTTGGTGCTTTTGGCAGTGTAGGCAGGTGCCAAGTCCTGCTGAAAATGAAGTCAGCATCCCCATAAAGCTCGTCTGTGGAAGGAAGCATGAAGTGCTCCAAAATCTCCTGGTAGATGGCTGTGTTGACCCTGGACTTAATGAAGCACAGTGGACCAACACCAGCAGATGACATGGCTCCCCAAATCAACACAGACTGTGGAAACTTCACACTGGACTTCAAGCATCTTGCAGTGTGTGCCTCTCCATTCTTCCTCCAGACTCTGGGTCCTTGGTTTCCAAATGAGATGCAAAAGTTGCTCTCATCAGAAAAGAGGACTTTGGACCACTGAGCAACAGACCAGTTCAGTTTTTCTTTAGCCCAGATAAGACGCTTCTGACGGTGTTTGCTGTTCAGGAGCGGCTTGACAAGAGGAATACGACATTTGAAGCCCATGTCCAGGATCCGTCTGTGTGTAGTGGCTCTTGATGCACTGACTCCAGCCTCAGTCCTCTCCTTGTGAAAGTCCCCAACACTTTTGAATGGCCTTTTCCTGACAATCCTCTCCAGGCTGAGGTCATCCCTGCTGCTTGTGCACCTTTTTCTTCCACACTTTTCTCTTCCACATAACTTTATATTAAAGTGCTTTGATACAGCACTTTGGGAACATCCAACTTCTTTTGCAATTACCTTTTGAGGCTTTCCCTCCTTATGGAGGGTGTCAAGGATGGTTTTCTGCACAACTGTCAGGTCAGCAGTCTTTCCCATGATTGTGATTCCTACTGAACCAGACTGAGAGACCATTTAAAGGCTCAGGAACCCTTTGCAGGTGTTATGGCTTAATTAGCTGATTAGAGTGGGACACTTTGAGCCTAGAATATTGAGCCTTTTCACAATTTTCTAATTTTCTGAGATTGTGGATTTGGGGTTTTCATGAGCTGTAAGCCATAATCATCTAATTATGACACAACACGGCTTGAACTATCTTGCTTTGCATGTAATGAGCCTATTTCATATATTAGGTTCACCTTTTAAGTTGCATTACTGAAATAAATGAACTTTTGCACGATATTCTAATTTGAGTTTCACCTGTATATTATTCATATTTTAAGATTATTTTTCAGGGATAGTTATCATTGAAGAATAAGGTAAAAATAGTGTTGGTATTACAAGACATTTATGGTATATGTGTGTAAATGAACAGAAAAACAGTATATAAATTGCTACATGTTAATTTTTTAAGCAGAGACAAAACATGTAAAACAGAGAATATAAAATAAATATGACAGAAGCAGTATTTATTAAGTTTTTAAAAGAAGAAATTGGCAAATCTCATCCTATCTCATTCTATCCTCTCAACTCTCCAACTTCATTTAAATTCACATGAATATAAGTGCCTCTCTGCCATATGACTGGTGATTTCTTCAGCAAGCATAGGCTCTTTTCCCCTTGTGTTTTATAAATGTAATGCATGAGCTAATATAAGGAGCCATTTACGGTAAGTTTGTTTATCAAATGGTAAATGATGTCATAAAATAACTTTCTACAATTTTCAAAACAGAACTTGAGTGCCCTCTACTGGTTGAAGAATTAATCATGCAACTGAAATATATCTAGTCAAATTTCAATATATTTTGTTATAGACAAAGCAATGTAATAAAAATGGTGAAGATACTAAGTATATAGAGAATGCAATACACTGTACTTATTTGTTAATGTCCCTTTCATATTTATCTTTGGTTATTCTTCCTTTTTGATATACCATGACCTATCATGCCCAATATAGTATGATTTGATTGCTTATTGTACCCTATGACTATCATTAAGTGTTGTACCTTATGATTCTTGACTCTTGACAAATGTATCTTTTCTTTTATGTATACTGAGAGTATTTGCACCAAGACAAATTCCTTGTGTGTCCATCACACTTGGCCAATAAAGAATTATATTCTAGTAGTGCTTCTTAAAATGTTTCATGAAACATCAGTGATGCTCAGACAACTTCAACTTATTCCACCAAGATGGTCCTAAGATCCCAGAGAAGGTTTTTGTGGGGTTTTAAGCCTTTCAATTTCATTAACCAAACAAGCACCCTATCTGGAATTCCATTACTAGAATATCTTTAGATGAGAGAATATGAGCTTCTTGTGAGAACATACTCACCATTCCTTCAACATTTATTTTATAAACATAGATTTTTCAGCACTTCAATAAACCAAATGTCCAAAGATGATGAAAGATTCTGATTCTAAATCTCATTCCAGAAATTGGTGAGAAATGCCATAATACACTGTGCAGTTTGCCAGTCTCTTTGCACACAAAAATACATATATCCTCATAGCTAGACTCCAGTGGGACAGACACATGTGAGGTGACAAACACAATGTCTTGTGATCATCTTGGATTCTTCCTTATAAAATCATCTGGGACTATTTTGGAGCTTTTGACATCAATGGATGTGGACAGGTTTCTTTCTAGGATGAACTCAGTCATCAGCAGATTAAATCTATGAAAGGGAATGACAGTTGGGTGTAGGAAGTGGTGAATGTGTCTGTGAGCTAGGGAAAGTTGCTTCTGCCCTGAAGGACATGGTGGTGATCCCCCTTCTCAAGAAACTATCATTCAATTCAGCCATTTTAGATAAGTATCAACCAACTGGCAACCTTCCCTTTCTAGGAAAGATTAGAGAAGTGACCATGCAGCAATTACTGAGTACTCTGGATGATAAGGATTACCTGGATCTCTTCCAGTTGGGATTGAGGCTTGGGAATGTCTGAGCTACACTGATCTCCACTAGGATTCTGGGCCCAATTCAAGCAGCGGGTTGAAAGTTCTTATTAGCATTAGAACCACCAACTGTAGGTGGCATCAGTTCACACAATATGAGATGGCCAAGAAGAGATGTGATGAGAATCCACCCACTGAGACAGAAGAATGAATTTCTTGGTAGCAGCTCCAATATTCCACCTTGGAATATTGCCCCAATATATGAAACCCATCCCTATTATTCAGAAAGGTTGTAAAAATTTGCTTCTGCAAGGTTTTTAGATGGAAAACTCTTAAGCTTGATAGCAGTTGTGGGATTTTAGTGAGTCTTAACTTACTAAAGTACTACGCAGTCCAACCACATGCTATCATAAACTTACAACAATTGTAAGGATTGCATTATTTTCTTTCCATTCAAGAAAATGTGTGGGATAGCTTCCTAAAGAAATAGCAGTGTATCTCAGAAGATCTACCTCCTAAAAGAACCAAGAGCTGACATAAATTCTGCTGTTATAGTGTTCTCTTCCACTAGAATCCCATGATCTCAAGCTCTTCTAGAAAAAAAATGCATTTGAGATGCATTATTGGTTTTGCATAAAACCAAAAAGGCTGAACCAACATTATAATACTCTAAAAGGTTTCCATTGCCATTTTCTAGGAAGTTGCCCAGATTACAGTAACAACGTATTTTGAATGCTTTAAACAAAATTGTACTTACTTAGACACATTTACACCAACAAAGCCAGACCACACTCCTTCGCGTATATGTGGTTTAGATGATGGACGCTGAAGTAAAAAAACAATGTAAAAGAAAATAAGATTCCAATTATTATTTGTCAACATTTGTATTCTACATTTGTGACCCAAGAAGGGGACTTTTATAATGGCTAATAATTATAACCAAACCAAGGGTTGTAACCAAGGGCATTATTTTTACAGCCTAAATCAGGGGTCCCCAATCCTTGTGGCGCAATACACTACCAAGCCATAGCCTATTTGTAACTGGGCCACACAAGCGGCAGATTAGGGTGCACACAAGCAGCAAAATAAGCTGCACGTGAGTGTGCTGGTCCACCGCTCACGCAGCCCGCTTCTCGCCTCATGTCTAAGTGCTATAATTTAACCAATGGATTATAATATGTATTGGAAATCTGTCAAGTATGATTTCATTCACTTTCATGTTTTTCTAACTTTATATTAACCTAATATTTAAAAATTTAAGAACTTAATCTTCTTTCATGAACATTTCTCCAAATGTATGCATTTTAATTCCCATTTTTTCTATTTTGCGCTTTCTGCATCTTTTTGCACTTTCTGTATTACAGGAATGGGCAACTATTAAACAATAAGTTGAATTGGAGAAGGAAGGTAGAAGAATGTAATTCTGGTAGTTTCCTGAGATTTATCAATGGCTTTTGACATAATTAGCTGTGGAATTTTTCTTCATTACCTAGTCTGAAGTAGAGGGCTAGCTGAGAAGTCCAGTGATTCTAATTCTAATCTAATGTCCTGCAAGGACATTACTGGAAATCATATGGACCATTGTTCTAGTCTTTGGCACCTGGAGTTTACTAGGTTTGTATCATTTCATTTCTAATTGTTAATATCAATTTTAATAGTTAATAAAAGTCATCTGAATGTTTGGACTAAAGTCCTGTTACTATAAGAATGACATACTGTAAAAAAATATCTTCCATTTCTACAAACTTGTCTCAGGGAATTGAAGTACCGTGGATGGGAAAAACCTACTATCCGAATAAAGTTGTGAGAATATGCTGGATGGTATTGCAGTACCCTGAAGAAAGAATGGAAAGAATTATTCTGGTCTCAGTGCCATCTTGGGTGTAGAAGATGCATTGATTATGATGTCCCACTTGCAGATTTTTAGTTGGCTCCCTTGAAATCAGGATGCTCATATAGATAATTCTATGCTCTGATTCTGCAATGCTCTCTAATAATGCTTACTGATTAAAGTGCTACACTTTGAACAGGCTGTCAAGCAGTCTAATAATGTTTGTAAATTAGGGTTTTTATAAGTTTCTTCAATAATAATAAGGCAAGAAAAATGGACAATCTTTTTAAAAAAATCACAAAGAATGGAAAACATTCCTGAATATTAATTTTTTTGGAGAAGTCGGCATTTCCTATAGATATTGAGATAATTGATTTTTTCCCCACTATAAGTGTGGGAAATAGGCAATATTTGAAATTTTAGGCTCTTGCCTGCTGGAAGGAGGAGGCATGACCCAGCATAACTCTCTAACAGGAGCAAAAACAGTCATTCTCCAAAAATAAACAGGGAGAAGGGACAAGCCAAATGCTGCAGTTTCAACATACCAGATTTCTTCTGCAGAAGGGCAGAAGGACAAACAGAGCTTAGAAAGCAGGAAATAGCTTCCTTATATGGGTTTATCCGCAAGCGACAGAGCTCAGTCGACTGGAATGACTGTGTCACAAAATGTGAAGCCTTCAGGGGCTGCAGTGAATGGACTTTTCTGATCTTTAAATTATTTCTCCAGATTCTTAAGATGCCAAAGCCAGGAGACTATAGTGCCAAAAAAGGAGCATTTTGAATTGGGATGCTTTAGGGAAACACACCACATATGGATGTAAAAGACTACATACACAGAAAGACCCCATTTTGTCACAGAGTATACTGGATTCCCAAACATTGATTAGATGCATTCCCAAATGTTGATTAGATGCATTAAGCCAACATATTTGAGCTACGTATATGTACAAGCTGTCATTTATTACATTTTTTTAAAAAAATCATATATCTAATAACTTTTTCCTAACCTGTAAGCAATTGATACTGTATCTGCATATATCATTATGAAACTTTCTTCAGAGCAAAACTCCCAATCTGCTGCTATACTTTATAGGCAATATAAGGTATTTAAATGAGACATGTTGGTAAGCGTAGACTGTTAATGTTTTCTTTCAATAAAAATAGCAGTTATGTATCCTTTAGGAATATTCAATGTCTATATTAGTTAAAAACAACTAATATCCTAACCATAATCAAATGAGGCCACTGTTTCCTTCTTGAGTCTGTAACATATTTAATAGCTCTCTTTGGGTGTTGTAAAGAAATATTAAGCATGCTGAGGGAAAGAGTCATGTTTTAAGGAAAGAATCATTAGCCATGAGTGGATTGAGGATCGCTGAAGATCTTAACTTTCTTGATCTATTCCTCCACTGAGTTGTGTGTTTGGAAACATGTTAGTCTGCAATTTTCTAGATTCCTCCCTCACTTTCTCATTATTTGTGCCATACATACTGGCCGAAATAACTCTATACTGGCCAAAATAACTCTATGCTTGGTTTTAAAAAAAATGCTAAATCACATTAAAAAATATAGCCTTTAAGAATAGAATGGCTTGGAAGATTTGTTATTAACAGAGTTGATGAATTATTAGAATAGAAAGATGGATTTAAGAAGTATCCTGTTAGGAATATGAGTCACCTAACAGCTATTTGGGTTAGAAATATATAAACCAGGATAAACATTTTAGTACTATATCTTTAAGGTAATGCAAGAGCATGCAATTGGGTGTGGTTTCTCAAACAGCCATAAGATGGAGCCAGAAACCTGGGTTGTTTAGTCTTCGTCTCAGAAGAGAGTGTGTCTGAGTGTATCTCTGTTTCCTTCTGTTGGAAAGTATTGCTGTTCCTCCATTTTTCCTAACTGACTGATATTTCTGGATTTAATGTAAGTCTGATACTGAATTTTTTTTTGACACTGGACTTTGTTACTGAATTATCCCTGGATTGAAAAACTGACTGATTTACCTGTGAATGACTTTGGACTGCCTATTTTGAACTTTGCTTAAACTTTCTGGAAGTAAAAACCTACATTTACTGTACAGTGTATCTGTGTACTGTGTGTGTATTATTCAAACACTTCTCTCAAATACATCTCCCTGTATGCGCTCATTCTCCTAACGGGGAATTACCTCAACATATCCCACAACCATAAATAAAAATGTGTATACAATGTGGATAGACAAAAAATAAGCACAAAATGTGTACTAGATTCAAACTTTGTGGGAGACAAGAGTTGCAGTCCTGGGCAGGCTTTTCTTAAGAATAAACATCCCACTAAATTTAGCAAGATAACTTTCACTTAAACAAATATAAATTTCAGCAGCAATTTAAAACATTAAGGAATAGAAAGTAATTGATTAATATTTTTAATTTGCAAAAAGTAGGAGTGCTTAAAATAAATGGTATCATAGCTGTTGAAGGAAGAAGACTTTAAATATTGGCATAAACTTTGCAAGATCTTACAAGGGTAAAAGTCTGAGTAAAAATGAGATTGGACAAAAATAGATTAGTCAAAAATAAAAATGGGCGGATAAAAGTAAAGAATACCTAATGGATTATATCTTTGCAAAGTTCAGAAACCAAAAGGAGATATATAATACAGTGATAACTGGAAGAAAAGTTAGGATCAAAAGGAATTTCCATTTCAAAAGGTATTCAATCATTTTCAATGTCCCATCTGATGGGACCATGAATTAGGCCTTCTCTGTCATAGTATCTGCCCCCTGAAATACCACCCCCCCCCCGAGAGATTATAATCTTATTAAAATGAGCACTCAAAACCTGGCTTTCTCCTTGGATTATAAGTGAGTACAGGATCCTTATTGGACAACCAATATGTGAAAATTTGTATGATGACAGTAGGTATTTTAGAATTATGTTATTTATCTGAATATTTGTGTTTTGTATTATTTATATTCTATCATGTAAAATTTATATTGTATGCCATATTGGAATTGAATGACCTATTATTTAATTAATTAACAAAACTAGCTATAAGGGAAGTACACTATATTTCTTCACTGGAACTAAATAGGTCTCAGGTGTTACATCCAAATAAAAGTTGTTTTATATTGCATCATGGCAATATATTTATTCCAATGGAAATAATCCTTGTTTATGAAACCATATGGATCTTGCAACCTAATTACCAAGTATGTTCATCCTATAGAAATATTTATAAATTGCTACTATGTCTGAATTACCTATTTATCCATAGAAGTGTTTTTGCTTGATATAAGCATAGAGCCTCTTAAAACAAACCCCTACTTGAAACATTTGAAAAAGCTTTAAATTTCCAATATCTCTTGTACCTGGTTTGTCTCTTATCTTGTTTAACTCTACCTGCAAAATATATTTTATTATCCTTATATCCATGACCATGTTAATATCAAAATATCCAAACTCTTTTAGGGAGACATAATCCATGGCATAGTACTGTACAGTTTTCATATGTTGCAGGGCCAGCCAATGTGAGGAATAACAGCATTAAAATAATAGCCATTTCCCTCATCTTTTGGTAGGGTCTGGTTAGAAAGAATTCAAAAAATGAAATACACGGTAGAATTAGAATTTTTATGTAACCTTTCCCATGCTTGTGCTCAACACTCAGCAATGATCAGTGCACTAACAGTGAAGACCAAAATGAAAAGTACTGGGAAATATAGATGCTTAAAAGAGTTATTTTGAGGAGAATGATGAAAAATGTAATTGAGGATAAGGAGATAACCCCAGCAGGCCAAAAATAACTAGGCAGCTATTCAGGGTTCTATAGGCTAAATAAAAGACCTTGGGGAGCTTCAGGCTGAATGAGGCTACAGCTCATTTTAAGAAAGCTGACCTAATTAGGGAACATGAGTTCAGCTACATTTTTCAGATTCCTATTGGAGAATCTGGCAACATTCCAAGGGAACAGTTGGATGTCCAACACTTCTTGTACTGGCAGCTGGGTGGCTTCAAAAGAACACTGATCCATTCCACAAAGACTTCCATGGGATGGGCAGTACTAATACAGATTCTCCTTTGATGCAAAATATATTTATATATTTAAAGTACATGTTTGAGTACATGCACTCAAATAGAAAATCTCTGTAGATCTCCATGGTTCTGTGTCATGTTATTCAAAGCACATTGTCTTTCCACATTTCCACCTTTGAGTTTTATATCCCAGAAGTACATGATAATATGCTTTGGTTAATTTAATCATATGCCCTGAATTAAGTAAAATTCCACAACTAGGTAGAACAATGAAACTGTAGCACTACTGAAAGTGGAC